TATATAAATCATCAAAGAAAGGTAAATAGTGTTCGAATAAAGGACATATAAATACATCGTGTAGCATAGCTCTCAACAAATGTAGTCCTGTAAATAAATGAATAAAGAAATTCTGTAATAAAATGCCTCTGGCGGGACTCCTGTCTCTTATACACATCTAGATGTGTATAAGAGACAGCATACTTATATATATATATATACATACATATATACATACATACAAACACACATACACGCATATATATATATATATATACATATATATATATTATATATATATACATATACATATAAACATATACATACATCGATATCTGACGTCAGCCAAGAAGTTATTTAGCCTTCCTTAAACAAAGCTGCATGTTTAACTAACAAACAAAGACAAATGATATACGTAATTATAATGCACCTTTGGAAAAATATATTTCTTCACAATGAAATACTTCTATTCAACAAATTCCATTCACTCACCAAACTGTCTACAGTACTTATATCATAAACCTCTACATAAATATCTTCATAATTACAGTACAAATTATTTCAAAAAGTTACGTACACAACAAACCTTACAACAACCAAATTTCCTTTAATATCACTGTACACGAAATCACACCTTTCCTAACTGTTAAGTGAACATAACAAAAAAGGTCTGTGATGATGCATACAACTAACTCTAACTTCAAATGTTTTCTTTATGCTTAATACACATAACAACAACACTCCACACAACCTCCACCCACCGACAGCACTTATACATTGCCAGCTATTGTCAAGTGGGCTATTGTATCATTGATGCTCTCGTTTCAAAGCTTAGATTTCGAATCATTAATCGTTAACGCGACCTGATGTGTAAGGAAAACAATGGTCGTATCAAAATTAAATCGATTGTATCCTGTCTAAACATTAGAATACTTGTACTTTACTTCCTTTCGAATATTATTTCGCTTTTTCTATTTTATCCATTCAGGACTATAATTTAAAAAAAAGTATTGTATCCGTTTCTAAATCCACCACATTTAACAAAAATGTATTATTATGATTATGGTAATTATTTTAAGTGCTATTAAAATGCGTTAGAGTAGTTGGCTCTATGCCAGTGTTAGCCTGGTAGGCCATGAGATTGCCAAAATGATGGGCAGTGATAACAAACGTAGTCAGCGTTGTTTAGGTGTAAAGATGTAGATAATAAGTTGAAGTGGGATAAACCAACCGTGGGCTATCTAAATGAAAGCAAAAAAGCACATCCAAAGAAAATAATGAGATTGTGATGGCACCATCTTAATTTTTTCATAGACCAAATAACAGCCTTTTAACCTAATTTATAATTTTCAATTATTAAAAATCAAACAACAAAAATACATTAAGTAGAACTAAACGAACATTTCAGAAGATATTCAAAGAAATTATTACTTTTCTATGTAAACCACTTGATAAGGATTTCAGAGGAATTCTGGTTTGGACTAATGTGTACCTTTCACAACACGCTGTCGTTAGTAAAAGAAAGTATTAATTTTTGCCAACTAAATTTAATCTAACAATCGTCATCACAAAAGTAAACTTAGGGCATTTAAAAAAATGATGTTTTTAAAATCGTGCTGTTTCTGGTATACCGTATATAATTTGTATTTTTACGTATTATTGATTCGATCGTATGTTTTAGACGATAAAATATCTTGTGTTCTGCAAACAGGTAATAAATGCAGAAGGAAGTTGAATAATATATTCCATAGGCCTGTTGCCTTTAGTACTGTTCTAAGGATAATTTAATAAGTGAAAGTACTGTAATCTACTAATTAGAATATCCTTAGTATTGTTCTAAGGATATTATAATGAGTAGCCTACAGTACTTCAACTCAAAAGCTTATCGCACGTAACAATCTGTTTTTAGAAAACGACATGCGCTTGTGATGGAGTAAATTTGTGAAGACAACTACAGCGAATAAGATTGCTTAACTTGGCAAAGAAGTTTACCATTAGCCTAGACTGACCCATGAATAGGTCTGAAATCCAGAACAAAATGACTTCCCATTAGAGGAGACTGTTTATATTCCTTGTTTTTACATACTTATTTTTTTAAAGATCATCGGAGGAGGGCGGAATAAAAATAAAAATCATTTTTGTTATTTATCAAATAGTTTTGCCAAAAACATCCAGACGGAGGAGAAAATAAAAATAAAATTATTTTGGTAAATGTAAAATAGGATGGTTAAATTTTTGAAATATAATTAAGAAGAAATATACATATCTTCGGAGATTTCAAGGCAGCTGAGGGCGTAATAAAAATAAAGAAAAACTTTATTCTTTTTTATCTGAAATGTCCACTATTTGGTGGCGGCGGGTGGGCTAATTGGCTAAAAATAAAATTTTATTTGAAATCATCAATATTTGCAATCGGCAGGTTCGCTAAACAAGGTATTAAAAAGTCTTGCCTTAGGATATTTGGTTACGTTGCCCCTCCAGGCAACTACGTTGCCCCTCCAGGCAACTTGTGCTTGTCAGATGGACGGATGGTTTTTTTTTTTTTGTGTAACACAAAGGTAACCCACGAAAATCGAAAGAAGAATATCTGATAAATTATTGTGAAAACTAAGAAAAAAGTAGCCTGTAAATCTTTATATCTGTCTCTTATACACATCTAGATGTGTATAAGAGACAGGTATTACACCATGGACGTGTTAATGAACGGACGCTAAACGATAGGGCTCAAACATCATCTATATATTCTGAAAAGAGATATGAGTTTTTTAGGGGACAAAGAACTAGGACACAACAGGGAAACTTTTAGACAAGAACATTAGCGAACAATAGGTACCTAATAGGATTAGCATGCCTTAGTAGTTTGAGATCATTCTAGGTAATTTCACTGTTCCCTGCTTAAACATATATGAGTTAATATTCAATACTGTACCTACTTGAACAGATATTGCTACTCTCATGAATGTCCGGACCCGGTAGTCAAATTTTAAAGATACATGATAGATTTAGATGCAATTTTAATAAATAATTTTAAATAATATATATATATATATATTTTTTTTTTTTTGGCAGTGATATGTGAATTTTCAAAAAGGTGACCAGCCGGAACTCGATAGAAGTACATTGGGTGAGGATTAACTAATATTGGATATTAATAATAATGGATAAAAGAACAGCGAATCATCTACAAGGTTATTATAAGTATGAACGCAGTATTAACAAGTACGTTATTGCAGCTGATACCGAGGTGCATGAAGCTTACAAAATAGCTCAAGAAAGGGGAGCACTTCCTCTTAACAGAACCAAGATACTTCTCCTAGGCGACCACGCTGCCGGAAAGACTTCCACATGCAGGCGTTTAAGAGGAAAAGAATTTCGGCATGATGAGCCCAGCACAACAGGAATCGAAACAAACATTTTCAAAGCAAAAATTAACGATGTTAATAGTAAATGGTGTGAAGTATCAAACACACCTCAAGAAGATTATGAAAGTTCAGCAGCATGGTGGGCAGTATCACACATGCGGAAACGTGGTATGAAAAAATCCAAGAGGGCAGGTAGCCCGCCTGATGTTAGTTTACATTTCTGGCTACGAGATCTGATTGAAGATATATTTCATCAGATAATACTTATTATTCCCTCTTTAATTACGTTTCTAACAGGTGGGTTTACTTTCGGATTTGGACTGGTTGCATGGATTTATATTCTCTGCTTGATGTGTGTATTCGATGTTCACACTGCGTACCGCTTTGGTTCCGGATACACTATCGAAATGGTACTCATAGACAGTGCAATTAGCATAGATAACATTCACAAAGAAATGCAAGACACTGGATTGGATTGGAATAATATGTCGTCAGTCCTGATGGCTCTTATGTATGGACTAGTTGGCCTAATTACCGGAGTGCTTATGAGCGCAGGTTGTAGGGTTGGAGTTTGCATAGCATTTTGTATAATGGTTCATCCTCAACAAAAAAATGTTACCATCGATAATGTTACAGAAAAGCTACTACTCATCTACAGCAAAGTATATTATAATTTCTTATTTTGTATCATTGCATTTATTACAATAGTGATTTTTAAAAATGTTCATACTAAGATATTATCTATGGGTCGAAAGAGTTGTATATCTTTTTTAATAATCATTATTCTTGTCATCACACCTTTTATACGAACGTCATTATGTCTACGCCTATTTATTATTTTGTATGTTGCTATAGTTGTATGTTTTACAAAATTTGGAGTCATTTTGGGGAGAAGATTTGTTGTGTATGATTATTTCAATCAAAACTATGTTATAAAAAAATCTATTGGTTTTCTAACTGGGCTATTTATAGCTGTTATTTGTGGATGGGAATTTGTAAATTTAGGAAATCTCTTCTTAAATTATAAACAGTCTTTTTCACGATATTTATTCAGCGTATTGCAATTTCTCGTCCCTATCATTGCGTTTATTGCATACGAATTGTCTGCCTATATGAGAGTAAAATATACAACATCCATACCAATAACTCATGTCAAACAATCAGTGAAAGCATGTATTCGTAACGAATCCTATTTGGATGCAAGACTGAGTTTATGGGACTTTGCTGGGCAAGACATGTACTATAACACACATCACCTCTTCATGTCAAAACAGGGTGTGTATCTCATTGTTTTCAATGCAGTTAAAGCGGTTATGAACCCTGAGAAACAGATTAAACGTCTGCAGTTCTGGCTACAGTCAGTTGCTATGCACGCAGAGGTTGGAAATGCTGTAGTCTTTCTTGTAGGAACAAGACGAGACAGTGTTGGTGACACAAATGCTCTTTTGAATATTTTAAATCTAGCAAGAGAACATCTTTACAAGATGTTTTCTAAGTGGCTTGCATTTCATCCGTCTGGAAGCCTTTTCTTTTTGATCGAAAACGCATTACAAGTGGACTGCCAACGAAATCTTTTACGAGCAGCTATCTACGACGAAATACAGAAACTGACGTTTTTTCAGGAAACATTTTCAATAAAATATCTTTTATTTAATGAATCTTTAAACAAGTTTCGCCTACAAAAGTGCATTATTACAAAATTAGAAGAAATTTCAGAAGAAGTAAAATCAAGATGCAATATAACGTCACAGAATGAGTTGCGTCAAATCTTATGCTTCTTTGATAGATCTGGTGATATTATATACAACGAACGTGATGAGGTACTCAGAAAGTTCGTCATTTGTGATCCTCATATGCTTGTAGACATTTTGCAGTATTTGGTAAATGTGCCTGCACCTCATAAGAGAAATCGGACAGTAGCTGACTACTGGCAGAGTTTGAAAGATTTAGGAATCGTTGATAGTAGATTACTAGAGCATATCTGCCGACAAAAAGGAGTCTGGACGTTTTACCCTTATGTTATTCGTTTCTTAGTGGGATCACACCTACTTTTCCCTCTTACTGTTACTGATCAAGTCGAACAAGTCGGAACATTTCTTCTTTCATGTCGACTGCCGAAGATTGCTTCATTATCATCTATCTGGAACGGGAATGATTGTTCACAAACTATTCTTTATTTTGATTTTAGGGAAATCATTCCTGAATTTATATTTTTGCGTCTCATAGCTAAATGTTGTGAAGTGTTTACTTGGGATAAGATCTACTACAATGCGGCAAGATTCAGGATTAGCAAATCATCTCTTTTTGTTATTAGCACAACAGTCATTTCTGGAAGCATTAATTCATACGATCGAAATCTGATCAAAATTGCTGTGCATAATGAAAACCATGCAGAGTTTATTAATGTTGTACAGAAAATGATTAATTTTACTGAAGAGATAATCAATCGGGATTTCAATCCGGACTACTTCCGGAATCAGTATATCTATGGTCCTGAATGCGAACAATGCAGTTTGTTAGATGGAACAATGTGTTTGGTGAACCTCATAACACCAGGGAATGATATGTCTTCTTTGGACGGCTACAAGCCAGACCATTACCATAAGCTTACGTTTGAGAGAAAGGTAGGTCTATGTTACTGCAATAATAGACTTACTATGTGTTCACTCGGTGATGGGGCTTTTACTGTGTACACAGAGTGAACACATAATGAAGGTGTGGACAAAGTGTTAACACGGTGTCAACGTCATTCCACACTGTATTCGCACCGTGAATACACTTCAGTCAACACGCTGTTACAAGCTACGTCAACAGGGGCGGATCCAGCCTGCCAGAAAAGGGGGGGGGGCGCATCCTGCGAGCGAAACGAGCAGCCTTTGGCTGGGGCCAGGGGGCCGCCTAGGCCCCCGGCGAGGTCGAGGGGCAGTGCCCCTGGTGGGGGTGCAAGGAGGCGAAGCCCCATGAAGCCCAGCACATTTGATGAATATGAGTTTGCATTAAGTCAATTTTGACTATCTAGCATGGTAGTTTTCAGTAACAAAAAAAAAATATTAATATTCAGGGTAGCCGCAATGTGCAACTAAAAAAATGTGTCATTAAAATAATAATTCATCTACTCACAGCTGTGAAAATTCAAGGGTTTCCCCTGTTGAAAACGGTCAGGTAATTTTTTCTCATGTCTTATTTAATGTGTGTTTACATACATAAACAAATTGAATAATTGCATACGATTTTTTCCATGAATCAATAAATTCCAAAAAAGAAGGGGGGGGGGTTCGGAAAATTTTGATTCTTAGAAGGTGGGAAATAAGCTTTCCCGACTTCTGAGGTGTCTTTTAATTACTTTTTATTTCTTAAAAATTCAATTTTTTTTCCCCTCTTGAAAATGATTTAATGAATCAATGAATTCCGAAGAAAAAGGGTGTCCGGGTTACCCCGGAAATATTTCGATTTCTAGAATGTGGGAAATGAGCTCTCCTGACTTCTGAAATGTCTTTTAAATGACTTTTTAAGTTGACAAAATTTAAGGTTTTTCCCTCTTGAAAACCGTCAGATAAATTTTTCTCATGTCTTATTTTATGTGTGTATACATACATAAATAAATGAGTAGTTGCACGCCTATTTTTTTTTCCATGAATCGATAAATCCCAAAAAGAAAAGGTGGTCCGTGGACTCTCCCCTGGGAAAATTTTGATTCCTAGATGGCAGGAATAAGCTTTACTGAAACTGGAAGTGTAGTTTAATGACGTTCTTCAAAATTCTAATTTTCTTATTGCAAC